TTTTTTCAGATTAATAGGAACAAAAGTAACACCTCAATAATAAGAATTTCAAAGAGTTAAATTAAAGGACCATAAATCATTTTTTTTTTCCTTTTCTTTTTCCTTTTAGGTTTTTAAAAGAAAGGGGACTGTAATTAGATGAAGCAAGCATGTATTGGTGTTATTTTAAATTTTGTTTTTGACTATAAAGTCAAAAATACATCTTTTGAACTAAATATTATTGTAATAGCGAAATGGACTTCATTTAGGCTCCTTCAGCTCGAACAACCTCCGTACTTTCAAGAACCCAACGTCTGTAGGGTCCCGGCATCGGGCCTCTGATGCCTAAATCAACACTCGCTAAAATGAGATTGTAGTAATGAATTAAGAGAGGATCAGTTAATGAGATACCTTATCCCCTCTTACAGGGAGAGTGTACATTTAGAGCCCAAGTTCAGCTTGGCCCATACCATTTGCTATGTGTCGTAGGTCATATATGAATTTATTCTCCAATATATTTCTTTTTAATCCATTAAACTCAATCTAATATAATATCTTATATCATATTGCTCAAATAAAATCTTCAATTCAAAAATTTATTTATCAAATACAAATAAATATAAATAAATAAAGATTATTATACAAATAAATAAATAAAGATTATTATACATTGATGATTAAACTCATAATGTCCAAAAAATAGGATAAAAGATTCCATACCCCAAGCTGATAAATATATGCTACTTCCATGTTAGTACCATCTCATAATTTGGTCTTCATAACTTCTAATAATTAATTCTGCTGTTTTTGTACTCTCCACATTTAATTCACTTTTGAAAACGACCTCACCTTGTATTTATTGCTTCTTGAAACCATGCAGGGACCAGCAAATCTAAGATATATATGATCATGATCATCTTTATAATTATAAATTTTTTAATTAATTTGAGTAAATATAGTAACACTAACGGGTCCTCTTAATAAAACCTAGTCAACTCTCACCCCAATTGACTTGATCAAACCTAACCATTAGACATTTCGATCGCTAGGCAATACGTAACATTTTGGAGTTATTCGATCACGCTTACAGACGAAACAACTACGAGTTTTGATTAAAACACGGGGGAATCAATCGGCGAGTCAACCGCGTTTAAGATGTTATTCCAGTAATTATCGACGGGCCCGGTCGCGTTCGCAACATCCGCGAAGCCCTCCAAGAAACTCGGGATCCCCGGGAGGTCGGAAAAACAATCGGCCATAATATCCGTGACATCGCGAACCTGCACCACCGATGAGTTTCCCAAAATGCCCTTGATCCCCGGCCCCTCGGGCCCCGCCGCGTAATTCGCGGCGTCCGACACCAGGGTCGATCCCCCGTGGGTGCTGTCCGGGAAGTTGAGTACGGAGGTCGGGGACTCGAGCTGGTGGGCCCCAGCAAAAAAGCCGTGGAGGGGCGAAATGTCCATTCTGCCCCTGTTGGTGGCCCGCCACACCTTGAGGATGTCGAGGCACGGGGGTCGGGAGGTGGTGGTCGGGCCGAGGGCGGGGGCGGAATTTCCGGCGAGCGGGGGATGGAGGGAGGAGGCGGTGAGGTGGGACTGCCGGACGATACGGGCCTCGGCTTCGAGGCGTGCCGTCTCCCACTGGGCCATGTGGCTGAGGTTGGCGACGTCCTTACTGGGCTGGGCCGAGCCGAGGGCGTGGCTCTTGGGCCTGTGTGTGGTGGGGTCGATGCCCATTTTGGTCAGCTTTTTCTTCAGGTGGGTGTTCCAATAGTTCTTGATTTCGTTGTCGGTTCTCTTTGGGAGGTGGCTTGCAATGGCGGACCATCTACGATGATTTATAATAATAATAATAATAATAATAATAATAATAATAATATAGGATGCCAATATTGTATATCATTTAATTCCACATAGGATGCCAATTATTATATATTTTCATTTTTTATTCTATTTTACCTTGTTATACTTTTACCTTTCACCTGGAGATCTAATATATATTCTCTGTTCCATAAAAGACCAAACAACCTTGAAGAAGAAGTTGATAAATCACTTTTTATTCTTTTCAAACGTGTGTTCAAATATACTCATATATGTCAAATTATTTTTGGATCATTACCAGTATGATAAAAGGAGATGCTACTGTCCCGTTACGGAACAATTCTGTCGAAGTTTGTAACCGTTAGATCAACTATCATCGACGGTTACATGATGATCTAACGGTTACAAACCCCGACGGAGTAGTTCCGTAACGGGACCGTAGCATTTCCCTACGGTAAAACTAATATAAAAAAATAGAAAAAATAAAAGGCAGACCTATTTCCAAGAAGTGCATGAAGCTGGATGATAGTCTGTTGTTCTTGCAAGCTGAACTCTCCCCTCTTAATGTCTGGCCTCAAATAATTTGTCCACCTCAATCTGCAGCTTTTCCCACATCGCTGCAGCCCTAAAAAACACATAATAATCCAATCAAAACATTAATACTATATATCCAGTGGTTCTTTAATCCAACTAAAATGATTTTCTTGATCTAAAATGATCATTTTAATCCAACTATAGCTAAACTTAGTTGCACCATGCATGCAAGCTCCACCAAGAATCACTTAAATAATCCAAGGATAACTTTATCTAGTGTTTGGTAAGCTTGACTGATAATCAAGGGTTGGCTCACCGGCTTTGGGAGGAAGGGCTCTCCAGCTGCCGTGGCCGTGTTTTTGAATATAAGCGAGAAGCTTCTGGTCCTCTTCGGGTGTCCATGGCCCTTTCTTCAAACCCACTTTATCACAACAAGGGGACCTTCCCATTTTTTTCTTTTTTTGTTTTCTTTAACTAGCTGCAGAAAACTTGAAAGATCAACTTCTTGTGTGTGTGGTGATAACTGATATATGAAGAGAAGATCCCAAAGGGGGGCCTATAATTTATATATGCAACAAAAATCGAGTATTTAATGCCGGTGAAGAGTGGTGTACTCGGGGTTTGGTTCGATTTTTATGTTGCGACAACAACTACAATTTAATCAGCTGACCCAAGAAACAGAAGGAGGCAGGGGGGGAGAAAAACTGACGAGAAGCTCATATTATAGATTCTGAGGGCTCTTTCATGTACTTTAAAACTATTGTCTGAGTGTGTGTCTTTGCTAATTAATTTATTTGAACATGTTGTGATTAGTGGGATGGGAAAAAAAAAATTTGATGATGATTATGTATATTTCATGCAAAATTAAGACTGGTGTTAGACATGTTGGAAAAATCAGTTGTAAAACTTGGGTTTGACCCGGGTTTGACTGAATTTTTGATGGCTAAATATTTAATTTGAGTTGAATTAAATATTGTAGAAAAATTCTACGTTCCGAGTAGATACTCGTGGTATGTTTATTTTCTCAAAACTGATTTTCGGTGAGTGAGAAATAAATTGTTAAAGTTAGCCATAAAAGGGCACGTAAAACGTTGGTTGTGGGATTTGAAGGGTCAAGAGTCACTCCCACATTGGACTCTTAAATGAGTTTAACATTCTTTATTATAATAAAGAGAGTTGGAGAGGTTACAACAAGCACAAAGCTATGCACCAAGTGTTGGTGTTGTTTTCGGCCACACGCGCGCGCCGGCAGGCTCGGGCTCGGGCTCGGGCACGGGCACGGGCACGGGACTTGGTCCTTGGTCCTTGGTCCTTGGCAATTGGACTTTGGGCTGGACTTGGGCGGCCTTGGGCGCTTGGGGCTTGGAAAGTGAATATGGACATGTGACCTTTCATGTGGAAAGTGACTGTTCAGGTAGATGTTAATGGCCTTAACACCTGGTTAATGGTGTTTTAACACCTGAAACGTTTTGAGAATAATGGTGCCATTTATCTCAGCCTTAAGTGGCTGGTGTAACTAGTGTTGTAAACGAACCGAAC